AATCAAAACATGCAAAGAGAAAAAATTATTCGAATATGAATAATAATGATAAGGAATTTAAAAAAAAAATATCAGATTCTTAAACAGTTTATTAACTTTTCAGTGCTTAACTGCTTTGGTTGCGAGTCATGTTTCTGTCCATGATCAATAAAAAACTTAAGTTCAAGGTGCTAAATTGTTCAGGGAAATAAAAAAATTGCATGGACACGGAATCCCAAAACAAAAGGATCTTCTGTAGTCACTAGTATCTGCGTATTTGAAGTTAAAATATGTTATAAAACATGATTTTTTCACTAGATTATATATAATTATTCCAAAGAGATTTTTGCGTAAACCCCTAAGATTTTGAGTCTAGGGAAGATGTACTTGATGTACAAAGCAGGCTAATTCATTTTTTTTATACTGAAATTAAAAAGAAGTCTTTCTTGCATTTTATTAAAATTTTACGTCTAGTATAGACCAAGGACGTATATATAATCTATTATACGTCCTTGAATGGATGTTAAAAACTAGGATTTTTCGAAAAAAATATCATTTATTAAAAATAACGTTTAAATTAATTATGAAAGTACATTGCAAATTGAAATACAGTTATTTTCTTTGTTTAAATATTGCAACATTATTTCCTTTTTAAAAAACAAGGAAGTCATATAACCTCCTTGATTAAAATAACAAATCAGATTGTTATAGGTATATCTGGATCCTTTTTCGTTATTAGAATGTGAATAAAAAGATATTGAATATGAAAAAAAACTAAAACTGAAATCTAAATCTAAAATATATTTAAAAAAAAAATACATTTGACCATGCAGATGAAAGAAATAATACTTCAAGCATTAAATGTGCAGCTTTAATTACGATCGATAACCTTAAAATTAATCATGCATGCAATTTCAGCAGACTTAACAGGGTCAGCGATAAGCATGATATCAAATGTCTATTTATAGACACCGAGTGATGACAGATGCAGGCAGAGATAAGAAAAAATTATTTCTATTTATAGTTATCTGGGCCAGGGAACAGATTACCTAATTATAACCTGTAGTAATTAAGGCCAGGGGTTCAAATTAACATTTGGTACTGGAAGGTCCAGGACCTTTGACTCTCCAAACTGAAAGGTCCACAACCTAAATTCCAGGTCCTACTTTTACTTAAAATATTTCATAACTCAGTTAGATACAAAATTAATGTGCTTTTGGTATAAGGTTAGCTTATTTCATTGTTTGTTTCACGGTTTTTCACGATAAATGTAATTGTCTTGTATATAATTAATTCAAGTAATCTTTTTTTTTTTTGGTATTGGGGAAGGTGTCACTGTGGATGGGTGTGTTGTCTCAACGATTGATATTAAATTGCTAATTATGCCATGATTATCTCAGGGCTCACACGTATTTCAGCTCGATTGTAAAGTCCACTGGAGCTTTTGCTGATTTGCTTACATTCAGGTATCATATCTAGTTGTACTATCTGTGAAAATAAAATAAGAAACTTCCAGCTATTTTAACAGGCCCTTCAAAATTTAAATTGAGAAAAAATTACCCCTTGAAATTGCAGTAATATGTTTACACTTTAAAAACATCTACATGCATTATCAGCATTTATCACTGATAAAGAAAATTTATACTGTCACATTGTATTGGATTTTGACATTAAAATTTGCCAAAAAGTAATTTTGAGTTTCTGTATAAAATATTTTCTGCTTTTTCTTTCTTTTCCATATATCTTTTGGTTTTCAATTCTAGTGTTTATATTTCATAATCATAGATATATTTTGTCACCTGCCTGGAATTTTTTTTTTATGTAGTTGATCGCCAAAATCCGGAATTACCCTAATCCGCTTCCGGAATTGGACCCGATATTGTAATTGTCTTCATGGCATCCATTGTTTTTCAATGTTGTTTTTGTCAAGTCAGATACGATTTTACTCGAATTTACACCTTACTTGAACTTACTTGTCGGCGATTTTCTGTATAAAGCTACAGGGTTCGACATTAACTTTTATACCAACTTGTCCAGTTGGGCAAGTGCCCTATTACTTTTACTTGTCCGAAAGTGAAATCTACATGCCCAAACTTTTACATGCTATTTTAGTGGTTGTAATGTAGTACATGCAGATAAAATATAGTTATCATGTATATGGGGTGTAAATTGATTATGGAGTATGAAAATATACTATGAGGCATATATGAGCCGAGGAGGGAGGGAAAAGATCGATGAATATACGGGAATTGGATTATTTACATAGAGATACTTATTTCATAATAATTTATCTAAGAAATGCCATTTCAAATAACCCTTCTTGATAAACTGACAACAACTGACAAATTTGTTAAAGTTTAATTTCATTTTCTCTTTCAAGCTTTTACGTTTTTCCATCTTAGGGAAATACACATCCGATGTCAAATTATAAAGTTAGAACAACGAAAATAGACCTCCGCTTTCCATTGGTCGGTGGGAATAACACGTGCGTCGGAAACGCCCGAGTGGTGTCCCGATGGATAACGATAATGGCAAAGCAACGCCGCGGCCGCCTGATTGGCCAATATTTTTAAACGTGATCTATTTTTGGTAAAATGGGGAATTCAGTGCGAACAATTGACGAAATATACGCATTGAAGGGGGGTTAAGACCACTTTACTCGACTGTGCGGTGTTATCACTGAGTAATCTATGGACAAAACAACAGACACTATTGATTTTGTGAAATTTTAATCATATAACACTTTTTTTCACTTGCCCGATCGGACAACCAAGATGATGTTTTTACTTGTTCGAATACGGCATTAGCTTGCCCCGGGCAATCGGACAACCGTAAGTGTCGGACCCTGAGCTAGCGGTTGAACAAAATTAACATCGCTGTCATGAATAATAAAGATGATATAAGTTTTGAGATCGTTTATTTGGAGACTTTGGTAAAAAGGTTTTCAAAGTTATTTCTTTATTTTCTTTCAAGTCGATGGTCCGTCGGGCGTAGCTAGTAACCAAGTCGAAAGTCCGATTGCAAAAGTGGAAAGTCGCGGACCTCGGACCACCGCTAATTTGAACCCCTGAAGGCTCTTCAAAATGTTCGTCAAAATAAAAAAAAATTATTATTATTTCTTGAAAATGATCAGATGATGAATTTTCGGTTTTAATATATTAAATATGAAAATGTAAAATAGTGCAAGGAGATTTTGAAAGACACAGGATAATTGATACTTAGGTTTTATGCATGTAAAATAGTTTTTAGGAAATTTTGAAGTTTGTTTTATTTATGTTATATTTTTATAATTTTGACCACAAGTAGCAGAGCTTTGTGTGACCATTGTGATAATGTACCGATGTAAATGCGTTATCTAATTAATTAAAAGCTCCTGGTCAACTGTTCTCATAACTGTGTAAACTAAACTTTCTTTGATGTCTTATATAACAGCTACGGTGTATGGGTTGTAAGTGTTTCTTTGTGATGTTAAAGTTGTGTTGCAAAAACAAATCGGTTGTTGTACTAATTAATTAGATTACAAGACAGTAAGTGAGTATAAAATTATTTATAATTGATACTGAGAGAATCTTAATTATATAGAGCGACGCCTGTTGTTACCATATGTTGACATAATGGCTACATTGAAAGTCCATGCAGGTGGAGTGAGATGTAGACTTTACGAATGAGACAATAGTCTATTCAAATGATTTTTTAGTAATCTAATTTGGAAAAAATAGGACAATATAAATACTAAAAAAAAATCATAGAAAGATCTTGCGAGGTTAATGATTTTTTTTCTTATTATAATTATGTTTTTAAATGGGTTTTTTTTAGTCGTTAAATACTTTAGGATACCTTACATATGTCATGCTCTCGTATAAAACTGGTGCAATTGAAAGAAAAAATCGTCACAAGTGAGATGCAGATCGGCGCAAATGCAAAACACCGGTTTAAGATAAATTAACTAAGAGATTTACATGTACCCCTTACTAAATAAATAAAATCTGCTATTTGTTCTGTTCTTAATACATTTGTCCTGCCTTTCTTAATACATTTGTCTTGTCTTTCTTAATACAATAATCCTAAATCCATTTTTAATTCATCAAATGGTCGTGCGGTAAAATCTTTCTCCTGTCTTTCTCCTTTCTTACTTAAAAAATTTCTTATACCCAGTTATATTTCATCAAATGGTTGCTCGCAACAATAAAAATCTTTTTCTCCCCACCGTACCCAGAGGAGGGACGACATTGAAGGTGTCTCCCACTTACTGTATTTTTAAATCCATAAATAATTTATCAAAAGGTAGCTCGCCAAAAAAAAATTCTTCCTTTTGTTTTCCTTAAATAATTTTTCTTAATAAAAACAGCTATTAAGTTTCACGTATTGCATTTCTTTTTTTAAGCACAAATAATCATTAATTGATTAAATTTCTTCACATTTGTATTTGAACATAAGCCTAGAAACTAACTCTTATAAAAAAAAAACAATTATCTAATATTTAATGCCAAACTAGCATTTGGGTTTACGATTGCATTTCTTTTTTTAAAAAAAGCAACTTGTTTATATATTAAGTGTTTTGCATGTTTTGTGTAGTTTATTTTTAGTTAATTGCACAAATCTATAGACTGTTCATTCAGCAGTATTATTTTATAGCATTTTTGTGGTCCCAGATGTAGCAGATAATGAGATTGAGCATGTTGACGTAAATTCTAGCCAAATGAATGTATAATTTTCATGTTAATCTGTCTATGGGAAATAAACACCTAGAGATTTCCATTGAAAATGATTGGAATTCCTGAATCGTAACTAGCACATACAAGAGAGCAGTAAATATAAGGCTGTTTTTGTTGATAAAAATGCTGCTTTTGTTTACAAAAAAATATCATCGATCGTGGTTTTTAGACTTCGGGAGATGGTAGCTTTCCAGAAATCCTAACTTGCTGACATTAAATTTTAATGTTGGTCTCAAAGCTATATATTTCAATCAACATCATCCTACAATGTGTTTTTAAAAAGCTAATGTGTATTTATTTACTTACTATCTGGCAAATACAACCTTCCCCTGATATTCCAAAATTATAATTTAATGGGTTAAAAGCGTACTTCCGGTAATCTATTGTTGACGTCGTCCCATAAATATCTCGGCCCAAAGTGGAATTTATTCGTTTACTTGGTGAATGGAATTGGCATGAACTTTTTGGAAACCAAGAATCTTTTCTGCTTCTGATTTTTGACTGCTTCATTTCAGTGGTGAAAACTTAAGTACAGAACAACTAACAGACATTACAAAGACTATCTAATGAATTATGTCATCAGCTAAAGAGATTAAAATTGTTGGAGGGACTCCGAAAACTTGTGTGACATCAACGACCTGTAGTAATTTTTCTTAGTGATCAGTAACTTCAAAACATATATATTATATCTTCAGTTATGAAGGTGATGGCAAGTTATTCTCCTCTTTTTATTCTATAAATTGTATGCCTATAGGACAGTCTGGATGTGGTATACATGGTCACGATACAGAATAGAGAATAATGGCAGAAAATAAACGGAGAAAAATGTGCAAAAAATATAAAATGTAGAGAATATTTGGGTGCTAAAGAACATGAAGAATACAGAATAACTGTCGAAAATAAAAGAATTAGGTAATCAAAACTATTTACAGAAATGAACGAGGTACAGAATAAAGAAATCATATAAGTTACAGAAAAAAATGCCGGTAATAGTAAAATCTCATTTAATCTGGTTCATGAGAATTTCACATCATAAGCGTTATGTTTAAAGATAAAGAAAAGTGCCCTAAAAATCTAAAGAATACAGAAACTAAGGATCCCCATCCAGACCCTCTTATGGTGGTGAGACCAGTTTTAGATTTTAAGGAATTATGGTATTGATCAAATTTGGAAATGAGTGTGTGACACTTGGGTCGTGTATAAATGTATCTCTGAGAGGACCTACGGAGAATCTGTAACTTACTGATACAAGACATTTCTTGGTGTTCCTGACCTCAACGGAAGGTTATACAGACAGAAGAAATAGAAGGCAGATATTATGGGTAAAGCCACTCAACAACAGAATGCTTCAAAGCGCATTGGTTGCTATTTTACAAAATTATATAAATTGACCATTTTCACACATTTATTTGATCCTTTGGCGTGGCATTTTTGCAACCGAAAAATAATACCCGCTGACTAGACTGATTAGAAAAAAAAAATCAAGAAAGGGCCTAACAATTTATATATGAAGACTATGTCAGGTTGTATGATGAATTACTCATGTTACTTGTACGAGCAAATCAAGGTTCCATGCATTAAAATTATAGAAGTATGCGTTACATAGCTATTGAATGTTTTAAAATTATAAATTGCCGCCACCATGCATCAAGTGCGTATCCAGGATTTTGAAAAGATGGAAGGCTGTTAAGCCAACGTTTGGAGTGATATTTGTGAAAAGTCTATGCATTTATCATATTATTATCATATGAAGCTCCATAAGGGGGTGGCCCCTGAAGAAGAAGAAGAAGAAGAAGGCACATTTTATATTATGTAACTTTTAGAGGACATATCTCTTCTTTTGCGATAAACATGATTAAACAACCACACATCTTATTAAATTCATTATACTTCTTTCTGAATACGCATACATCTATATATAGCTCTATATTTTGATCATGCTGAAAGTCTGAGGTTTCCGTCGACAGTAATTTTGTGTAAAGGCTGCTAAAACTTCAACTATGCGTACGTATATATGATTTTTAAAACTGGTAGTACTAATTATTGAAGCCGTGTCTATCAACACAGTTTAGCTGCCGATCTGCAATAATTGCAAAATACACAGACACATACATATCAAAGCTATACGCGATGAAAGATACATAGTTTGGACGGGAGAAAGAATAGTATAGTGGTCACTATTAAAATGATCTTTATTTGCCCTTTTCCCAAAAAAAGACACCTTGGAGAGTTCACCTTTTTTTTATTGATAATTCGTACCCTTAGTTTTTTTTAAACCCCTCATTTTTGACTGTATCGTTTAGTACTTAATGACTTTTATGAACATTTTAGGGGTTTCATTGCCTTTTAAGACCAATTTAAAGGGCTGTCACCAGCTTCTTAAAGTACACATACCTTGTATAACAGATCGTCAGTTATGCTAAATCCTATTACAGGTTCGATCCGCGAGTCCCTTTAAGCCTAAACCGTTCTCAATACTAGTTAAAACAACCCAACGAATCTCTGCTCTCTGGTTCCTTCACGTTAAAGTAATAAAGTATGCCTGAGTTATTGTGTGTATGATGCTTTGAAATTAGGAGCACCTTGGTTATCTGCACGTACGACTTGCTATTTGAATATGCCAGGAGAACCGGAGTAAGGGCGCAAAAAGGCACACCCCCTTTTTTACAACATACAATATTACAGACGAAAACTGAAAATAATAGAGGACAATGACTACCTATACTAGACTTTAAGACAATAGAATTTTTTTTTATTTGGGGAAAGGGGTGCTTTTCCCTTTCAGAAGTCCCCCCACACACACTTTTCGGTCTACTCCACTGCATGAAGAATAAATTCCTAAAGTTTCTATCCGTGATAAACGCCCACACTGTAAATATAAATAAGAAGATGTGGTATGAGTGCCAATGAGACAACTCTCCATCCAAGTCACAATGTGTAAAAAGTAAACAATGATAGGTTAAATAAAATTGAGAATGGAAATGGGGAATAAAGTACGGCCTTCAACACGGAGCGTTGGCTCACACCGAGTAAGTATACATAAACTTAAAGAATTTCCGAAGGCAATACAGCTATGCAATTATTGACGCGAACTGAAAGTATACTAGACCGATACTCAAGCAAAACTATATATGTGTACTTATGGTTTTTATAATAGTTAGTTTTTTTTTGTGCTTATAGTACCGATCAATTGAGTTAAGCCATTTGCAACTGATTTTTATAGTTTGTACTTATGTTGTCCTGTTACACCACTGACCAGGTTAAGGGGAGTGTTGAGTGCTCACAAACATGTTTAATTTTTTAATGTCTTTTTGGTCGAGTTAAGCCATTTCAATTGATATTTTATAGTGTGTCCTTTTATGTTGTAATGTTGCACTACTGTCTTAGGTTAGGGTGACAATTGGCGACTGTTAAAACGTTTAAACCCGCTGCATTTTTATGCACTTGTCCTAAGTCAGGAGCCTGTTGTTCAGTGATTGTCGTTTTGTTGGTGTGGTTAATGGGTGTTTCTCGTTTTGTATATAGATTAGACCGTTGGTTTTCCTGTTTGAATTGTTTTACACTAGTCATTTTGGGGCCCTTCATAGCTTACTGTTCGGAGTGTAAAATTGTTTGTCTTTTCTAGAGCAATGGTGAATTGTATCGTGACATCTGTCCTTCGACTTCGACACATATTATTTTCCGCTTACGATTTCTAAAGTATAGTCGTCCTGAACATGCATGAAATATTTGCCACTGCACGTTCAGCAACTAACAATCAATCAATCTATAATATAATCCAAATATTTGTCAATGAATTTCAGACTGTTCTTTTTATGGATAACAAAGAATATCGCTAATGTATCATACATTTTTTTTAACAACAGCTTACCACAATGACTGTAAATACATATGTTTCTTAAATAACTAATTCAACAATTTTTCATAACAGAACACGTACAATTTAGGAAGATGCAATATCTTATTAGTTTCTAGGGATCGTTAGGTCACGGTTTTGTTGTGACTAGAAGTTTTTTCATTGATTATAATTTAAGTACATTACGGTGATTTATTCTGAAGGAATAGGTAATCATATTTTATATGGTTCTCAAAACAAACATTACAATCGGAGCTTTTTGTAATGCAGAGTAATAGTACCGTAAATTACAATTAACCTAAACAAGTTCAAGACAATCGATAACATTTCATCGATTACATTTTTTAATTTAAGGTCGATAAAATATGTAAATATATATGTTTTCCATCTAGCTGTTAACATATCAGGTGGTATACATGACTGTTAGTGCAATTCAGGACATTTCGGACAAAGATCACGTTCGGACCAAGATCATGGCGCTCAACACAATCTGACGTATGCATGGCTGTTGAGATTCCCGAATTTAGACATAAAGTCACAATGAAAAATCGTATTGATATTAAAATTCGTTACTCTGTATTGTCATTAAAGAACAAACACAAAACGTTTATAAGCATTAAAAAAACCATTATGATAATGCATGTTTATTATATTAAACATGTTAAATCAAATCATTATACAAATAACACATAGTTGAGAGGGTGATAGAGCATATTGTTACCCCGAGAAAACATTGTCAACTGAGGCGAAGCCAAGGTTGACAATGTCTTTTCGAGGGGTAACAATCTGCTCTATCACCATCTCAGATAGGTGTTATTTAATTTATTATACTGAATGTTCTGTTATTACTGTATATTAAATTTCAAATTCAAAGTAATAAACTATGACGTCTTGTACATAACAACCATCCGTATATAATAAAGCGCACACTTGATCAAGCGTCTCCGTGAAGGGTAATAGAGTATTTACCATAGGATAGAGTAAATTGCCTCCCTCGTATTAACCAATCAAAATCTATAAGTATAATAAATAGAAAATATCCTATAACACATTTAGTAACAGATTTAACACAATAAACATGATATCTGCAAAATAAAAATCAACATGGGATTTGTAAATAAGTTTGTAACATTATTGCGTACTAGCTGATTCTGTGGAAGATTGTTGTGCAACTTTTAGATAAAATCATTACAGTCTTTAATGTCAAGTCGACCCACTGCCTTCGAATGATTCATTGTCAGATTTTTTTCTGTTTGAAATATTTATTGATAGTATTCACGCTTGAAAATATTACTTTTAACTGTTATCAAAGAAAAATAAACAAGAATGTGTCCATAGTACACGGATGCCCCACTCGCACTATCATTTTCTATGTTCAGTGGACCGTGAAATTGGGGTCAAAACTCTAATTTGGCATTAAAATTAGAAAGATCATATCATAGGGAACATGTGTACCAAGTTTCAAGTTGATTGGACTTCAAACTTCATAAAAAACTACCTTAACCTGAACCCCTCTACTATCGTAGGTGGGGGCATAAAAAAGGGTTTTCACCTACTTTCGGGGATCTCGCGATCAGTGTCCGAATGGTCTTATTCATTTATCTGCATGGATCACTAGCCTATCAACTATGATGTTGTCAGTTCGAACCAAGGACCGGGACTTCGACCCAAACGGACAAGATATACTAGTTTTCCTGACGAAATTTGATAGTTCTCTCTTCCAATATACACAACTAACAAGAATGATATATCCAATGCCATTGGAAGTGGTGTTGAAAACCAAGAAACACAACATACAAACATCTACTTATGAATAAGAAGATGTGGTATGAATGCCAATGAGACAACTCTCCATCCAAGTCACAAAGTATAAAAAGTAAACAATTATAGGTCAAAGTACGGCCTTCAACACGGAGCCTTGGCTCACACCGAATAGCAAGCTATAAAGGGCCCCAAAAGGGCTATTGTAAAACAATTCAAACAGTGCATATTTTTAAATATATTATAAAAAGAAGCATAATAACTACATGCACATACATATGTGGTATATAATGAAAAGACCAAATTGTTTGTTATAGTTGAAGGTCTTGATGGGCTTTACATAATAGATAAGAATGGGCCGAATCTAAAGAAAATGGATTAAAGAAATACAGAATATAGAAAAATAGGACCAAGAATAAAGAACAGCGAATAATGGGGTGCCACAATGTAAGGGAGCTACCATTTGATTTTTATGGGGGGGGGGGGGGGGGGGGGGGGGGGGGGGGGGGGGGGGGGGGGGGGGGGGGGGGGGGGTGGGGGGGGGGGGGGGGGGGGGGGGGCCTTTTTATTTTTCACTTTATTCGGTCTTGCCTTTTTTTATTAGTTTATCATGACTTTAATACATAATTTGTCATCCTGCCTTTTTTTTGCCAAGTTGCTCATCCTGCCCTTTTTTTTACTCAAAGCTTCTGTTCTGCCTTTTTTTCAAATTTCATCCTACCCCCCCACCCACCCATTAAAATCAAATGGTAGCTCCCTAAAGAATAGAGAATTATAAGGAAAAAATACAAATAATAGAGAAACATTACCTAAAAGATAAAAGAAAACAAAAATGAGGACCCCAACACCCATCCCATCAAATCCCTTTGCAAAAATACAAAAGGTACGGAATGTTTAAGTTGACACTTTTGTTTCGTTGAACTCAGTATGAAAATCAAAGTACTGGCATCCATAAAACACACCCTTTTCTGTTATTGTGCGTTCTGTGTCATTTCCGTAATACAATATGGCAGTGAATGGAATGTTGATATTTCCTTGGGTTAATTTCGATGTCATAGGAGTTCCATATTCCCACACGCTTATATAGGAATTTGTCGTTTGGAAAATTGTTATCTGCTGCTTCTCCACTATTTTGTGGTTTTTCGTGAGGGTGAGGCAACACTGACCATGCTGACTGGTATATCGGAATTAACGTTCCTACAGTTGTCATCCTAGCTGTTTAATGGTTAACTGGAGCATCCAAGTTTTAAAACCGACTTAGGCACGGACCATTTGACTTTTTTTGGGGGAGGGGGAGTCTGGTCTTTTCATGTGGACCGGGATTTTTTTTTCGAACGCTACGCGGGACAGATTATTGTTTTCATTGTTCAATGTAGAAAATTTATTTGGGATTTTTTTTTTCTATTGGAAAAATGTGGGCAACTTGGATTATTTTTTTTAATCCAATTGCTGGCTGGACAGATAATTTGTTTTACCTAAATCAGGGCCAGGATATTTTTCTAAAAAAGACCCCCCCCCCCTCCTTTCTCCAATAAAGTCAAATGGTCCGTGTCTAATCGTGTCTTTCTAGTATAACATATAGAGTTCATAATCAAATATTATATATTGTGTTTAAATTCCTAAACCACAGCTTGTTAACGATTACGCTGAATTTCACAGTTTTTTTCCCAATTTTAAAAGAAATTGTATCAAACTAGACAATACTATTTATAAATATAATCGGCTTAATATTCAATTTGACTGATTTAAATTTTATTTCTATTTCGTTTCGTTTCGTTTCTTTTCTTTTCGTTGGTTCCTATTTCGTTTCGTTTCGTTTTATGTTGATTTCGTTTCGTTTCTTTTCGTTTCGTTTCGTTTCTTTTCGTTTCTATTTCTTTTCGCACTTTATAGGCACCCACTTTTTCGGGGATCTCGCGATCAGTGTACGAATGGTCTTATTCATTTATCTACATTAATCACTAGACTATCAACTCTGATGTTTTTCAGTTCGAACCAAGGACCGGGACTTCGTCGACCCAAACGGACAAGATTTACTAGTTTTCCTGACGAAATTCGGTAGTTCTCTCTTCTAATATATACAACTAACTAAGAATGATATATCCAATGCCATTGGAAGTGGTGTTGAACACCAAGAAACACAACATATAAACATCTACTTACATATTTAATATATATTATAAGAAAAATCAAGCATACTAACTACATGAACATAGATATGTGGTATAATATGAAAAGACCAAATTGTTTGTTATAGTTGAAGGTCTTGATGGGCTTTACATAATAGAGAAGAATGAGCCGAATCTAAAGAAAAATGGATTTAAAAAAAATACAGAATATAGAAAAATAGGACCAAGAACAAAGAGCAGAGAATAATGGGGTGCTACAATGTAAGGGAGCTACCATTTGATTTTTAGGGGGGGGGGGGGTTATGTTATCCTGACTTTTTATACATAGTTTGTCATCCTGCCTTTTTTTTTTGCCAAGTTGCTCATCCTGCCTTTTTTTATACTCAAAACTTCTGTTCTGCCTTTTTTTCAAATTTCATCCTAGCCCCCCCCCCCCCCCCCCCCTAAAAATCAAATGGTAGCTCCCTAAAGAATAGAGGATTATAAGGAAAAAATAAAAATAATAGAGATCATTACCTAAAAGATAAAAGAAAACAAAAATGAAGGACCCCAACACCCATCCCATCAAGTCCATTTGCAAAAATACAAAAGGTACGGAATGTTTAAGTTGACACTTTTGTTTCGTTGAACTCAGTGTGAAAATCAAAGTACTGGCATCCATAAAACACACCCCTTTCTGTTATCATGCGTTCTGTGTCATCTCCGTAATACAATACGGCAGTGAATGGAATGTTGATATTTCCTTCGGTTAACTTCGATGTCATCGAAACTCTACAATTATAGAAAAAGATATCAATTTCATTAAAAGATTTGTTTAGCAGGTAAAATTTTAAAAGTTTCTTACTGGCTAAAATTGTACATGCAGATATATAGATATAAGAAGATGTGGTATGAGTGCCAATGAGACAACTCTCCATCCAAGTAACAATTTATAAAAGTAAACCATTATAGGTCACAGTACGGCCTTCAACACGGAGCATTGGCTCACACCGAACAGCAAGCTATAAAGGGCCCCAAAAAATTACTAGTGTAAAACCATTGAAACGGAAAAACCAACGGTCTAATCTATATAAAAACGAGAAACGAGAAACACGTATGAACTACATAAACAGACGACAACTACTGTAATCAGATTCCTGACTTAGGACAGGTGCAAACATTTGCAGCGGGATTAAACGTTTTAATGGTACCAAACCTTCTCCCTTTTCTGAAACAATAGTATACTCATATTGGACCAATACCTAACACTGCAGACAGTTGTTACCAAGAACAAAAAAAGTAATAACTTTTTTTATTTTGTTAAGATTTTCTCTTTTGATAGCTAGTCATGGAGAGAACCATTTTGAGATATGCTGTTTCGTACTGAGAACACTTTGACTCATATAAAAATATTTAGAGTACAATGGGAATTCAGACAAAACAAAAATGTTCATTTGCTAACAGTTTTCAGCAATTGTCAATAAATTTTGGTATACTTGAATGGCTTTCTTGAAATATTACATCGAGCAAAGGTGTTCTTACGAGGCCCGTAGAAAGAAGACGCAGATTAACATTATATAATATATATTGGGCATTTAATCTATATAGATAGAGCAAAATGGTAACTTCACTGTCAACACAAGGCTTAAGAGACAGTGGTGAATTCAAGGGGCGTTAGAGGGCGTTTGATTGGAAAATATTTATATTTTGCCTAAAATCGTCCAACAATTTGTATTTCCGTTTTTATTTTTGGAATTAACCCTTGTGAAAATCTTAAGTTTATACAAGATAAATTGTTTCAGTTGCACAACTGACACATATAGAATAATATACTTCATTTGTCTGATAAGTGTATTGAATACGATATAAAAAGCTGTGCATGCTTTAAAATACTCGTGATGTAGCATACCAGCTACACATTAATTGGATTATGAGGTAGACCGCTTGATATTAAACTGTGTCATATGTGAGATCGACTACTTTTACATTTCTGTGTTGAGCTGTACTTTCTTAGATCAAAAGTAATGTATTGAAATGTTTTATTTTTAGTTTCTGTTGTGTATTGATTAGTGTGTTTTGTATAATTTATTGCACTTTATCTCATTGCACTTTGTTTAAATTAGTGTTGATTTTGTCTGTTATTCGTTCTTTTTTCTTGTATCTTGTTGATAACTTTGAATAATAAAATTATATATGTATTTATTATATAATGATTATAATATACCCTTTTTGTATACTTTCACTGACCCAAGAATCCTTCATACCATCAACTATACGACTGTGGAATAACCTCAATGAGGTGATCCGCAACATTGACTCTTTAGGTAAAAATAAAACCGAATGAAACAGTCTTAAAATGAATTCATAAGCCCAAGTACCTAAACATTATGAATTTGGCAATCGTAAACTCAACATCATTTTGACTCAACTTAGATGCTCAGCCTCTTTTTTGAATTATGATCTTAACATAATCTCCGTCTTGTAGCTGTGGTGCTTAGCGTTAAGATTCATATCATTTCTTTTTTGAATGTCCTTATTATGCGAATATAAGAATCAAACTATTTAATAATCTGAACTGGTTACCAGAGAACTCTCCACTAAATTTGAACATCTTAACCTCCGGTGATTCGTCATTAATTAATGATGAAAATTAAAGAATATTAAAGAATGTGAATGAATTTATTATAGAGTCAAAGAGGTTTCTAATTGTGTAATATAGCACACTAAAGTGCATATACATGTATATTAAGCACAACCATTCACATCATCACACATCATCTTTTTACATATCCACAATGTATTTTTTGCATGCATGCTTTGTAAAAATTCTATTGGTATAAATTGTACATGTACATGGGAGAAGACTTTATAAGTTTGATTAACTTGTGTCTCATCCCTTTTGCATATTTAAGCAAATAAAATATTAGCTGCATCGGATAGAAATCGACCTTATGCAAGTACACGTACACATGTACATACATAAGGCTTTGGTTGATTTTAGAACATTCAAATACGAAATAAAAGATGAATGTTGTTCTGTTTTGTAGGGTTTTTATTACAACTCAATTTGCTAACAGTTACATACTTTCCGTAGTGATTTGTTCAACCCGAAATAGGTTAACAGATGTATTGATATTAATTTGCAAAAGGTCGATTTCTATCCAACTCAGCTCATATGTTTAAACTATGTATTTATTATTCTAAAAGAGAGGCGAAAGATACCTAAGGAACATCCAAACTCATAAGTCGAAAATAAACTGGCAACGCCATGGCAAAAAAAAAAAAAAAAAGAAAAAGGCCAAAAGACAAACAATAGTACACAAAAAACAACATAGAAAACTAAAGACTGAGCAACACGAACCCCATCAAAACCGGGTGTGATGTTTTACCTCATCAAAACAGCCACAATTTCTGCTGACGAGTAAATTCATGTTTATGTTAACTAAATTTATACTTTATTTATTGTGCCAACTTATTTATTATGTTTTTATATGCAAGGATGAAAAATGGAACCTGAATGTTTATTATATATTATCATTTGTACCATGATATTTATGTATATTGGCTAATTGCGTACAGGAATAGGTAGACATACATTATTATTTTTTTTTATTAAATTATACATACGTGGAATACCGCGGGATTTTTGACGGATACTCTGCAACCAATTTTTTAGTTTTTGACTTTTTTGTTCCTGCAGTACTCCCCATACTAACAGACATCTCAGCGCTAATACTGACTTCTGTTTCACCAACTAACGGAATTCCAACCTTTCCTGTCATTGTTGCTGTAATGAGATATTGTTCCTTGTGCATAGCTCTGATTCCTTGTCCGGATTTTGCTGTCATCTGATCCTTTAGGGGTTTATCAGCTCTTCAATGTTTGTATAAGGTTTTTGAAAACGAGCTTCTCTGATGTGACATTAATTGTACAAATGTGCATCTGGTTCAATAATATTGGTACTGTTGATGTTATTTGCATACTTTTTTTATTTATCTCAAATTTATAACCAGAAAAATTTGACGAATTATATAACATCACATTGAAAGGTCCTCCTGTTACTGCACCTAATATTTTCTCCAGCTTTTGAAATAGTTATCAAAGGTACCAGGCTTATAATTTAATACGCCAGACGCGCGTTTCGTCTACATAAGACTTGAAAATGGCAGGGTAATTTCTTTTCTCAGAAGGCACCCTTAGAGCGATTGGCTACGTTTTAAGGGCAGAACCAGAATCAAAATCAAATCGACAATCAAAGTCCCTTCAATGATGCTCGAGGTCAAAATATTTGAAAACTAAAACCTAATAGTAAAGTTAAAGAGCTAAACTAATAGAATAATCGAAAAGGACCAACATAATTGACAAACCCTCACAAGAGATTAGAGCTATGCATTAGGGAGATACATTCCATAATGATTTACGAAGTTTTAAAGCTGCAAATTGAAAAAAAACACGGTTAGTATAGTGGTATTACGTCCCTTTATAAAAACAACACAGCGTTGAGAAAAAATCTTAAGGATGTTCGCTCCTCTTGTTTTTGAATTTTTGCCAGATATTCGGAATCCTCGGGTTTTATCCATGTAGTGCCATTAAAAATTTTTGCCCACTAACCCCTACTTTTCTCTCCATAATATGATTACATATAGTTTAAAATGTCATTTTTGAAAATCTTATAAAATCCTTGTTATTTTTTCATAGTTTTTGAATGAAAAAAGGTACCAATGTTGAATGTATGAAAAATCAAGAGAGAATCATTTCCCGCCAAATTTTCAATGGCTTATATCTCGAAAACAAGCACACGGACCCTTCCTTTTTTTCTGCTTGTTTAGTTAATTTATTTATATACAATTAATCTATAACCCAGCAAACACAAAAACATCTTTAAAATGTTTTTAAAATGTTGTGTCTAATGTCATGAAAATATCACAAAAAAACGTGAGAAAAACATTAAATGTATGGTAGAATATATATCGCTAAAACGTTTTCTAATATATTTTCTAAAATATATGCATAATATAATTAAAATGTTGTAAAGAAATATCATGATAATGTGAAAAACAATGGCGTATAAAACATTTTGATAATCTTTTAAAAAATATTTTCTAGAAATATTTTCTGAACGTTTGAAAAACATCATGAACATCAAATAATGTTATAGAAATGTTTTTTGGATGTTTTCTTGCAAGTGAGACTGTGCCTAAAAAATGTTTTCAAAATGTTTTAAGAAGATGTTTTTGGTTGATATCTAGATCATATCAATATAAAAATTTCTGTACTTCTGATTGAGTTTCCTGCTTTTTTAAATAACAAATCATTAGTTAAATTAATTTATACACAGTGATTAATTCTATATACAAACAAGAATAAATCAGTTGTTTTGCTAAGCATATGAAATTCACAATTCAAAGTCTCTAAAAACAAGAAGTATCTACAAATGTTGACACATCCAAAATGGCAGACACAACTCATCATGGTCAAGCCACTTACCAAATATGAAGTCATTCTGTTCATCAGCATTACTAATTAAAGTAATGAAAAATTTGAGAACATTCAACATTAAATATGACCTCATCTTGATCAGCAGTTTTGGGAAAAACAGTGATGAAAATATTTGTTGGACAAAATCCGACAAATATAGGTGGACAGACGACAGACAGTGCAAGAAAGCCCACATTCTAACCACAATGGTATAATTTTTAGTTTTTCACTCTCAACTTTTATTACCTATCTTATACACATCATGCATATGTCAACCTGAACATGCATGACATGTATGCCAATGAACATTATGCAAACATTATCCACATTTTTAAGTTCAAGTTACATTGACTAAAACTTGTGTCCCAAATTCAGATTTTTCAATACAACTTCTCTTTCTAAACTAAAATGCTACACTTCTAATAGGGTTAAATCTTAAGTCAATAATCATTGATAATTGGCTGAAGAGATGAGAACAAAACACCATTTTACATCAACTATTTGATTTATTTAAGAATACATTGAAAAAGTCAATCAATTGTCTTATTCAAAATCACTTGGAATGTCTTGTAGTGTCTTATATCTTTTTCTTGCTGTGCCATGCTTCTGAAAAAAAAATTAATCTTACATTCATATATAAACTTCTTGCACATTCCTTTATTATAGAACGATTCACGTTGCCTGAAGGATATACATCCCCTCCCCTTTAAAGTTTTGAAACAAATAACGATGATAGTCTGTCGGAAGGGGACGATAAATGACTGACCGTGTTAAGAGAGAGCAATATGCCACGCTAAACTTCATTAAGTTATTAAAAAAAAAACACATAAAAAACTTTAGACTAGATATGTGTCCAGTCAAGAGTCTTATTTCATTATACTCGTTGATTGTTGTCTATCATATTTTTTTTCTTTTATTGTTTTGTATAAATCAGGCTGTTGTTTTTCTTGTTTTTATTTAGTTTTCATTAAATGCATTGTATCATGTAGGGGCCTTTAAAAGCCCTGCTACATAATGTCATTAAACATCTTATTGTCCTTTTTAAGTGTTAAACTCTGTAGAGTGACATAGTTTATAACTTGTCATTTGTATCTAAGGGCATATGATACAGTCCTAGAAGTATACTATAGGCACATAATAACTTATCGAAGTGTTAAGCATTGTTTTCACAATGATGATAATAATATAACTTAACTTCCGAGAAACACACAGATGTCATTAAATGAGTTGTTTATATGTATTTGAAATACTTCAAAGGAAAGCAAATATGTTGTTTTTGAAAGCAAACTGTTGGACTAAAAGATTGATTTAAATAAACAACTTGTTTCTATTTTGTCACAAAAAAAATAATTTATTCAAATATCCAGATATCTTTTCTGTATTGTATGCCCTTAATCTTGAATGTAATGCATTGTTTATGCTAAATATTTGAATTAAATATGGAATAACAGTAATTCTGTATGAAAATCTTACTTCAAAAAAAAATTCTCCTGAAAGGTTGTAGACATTCCAAAGAACCTGCACCACTTCCAAATTGTAAACCTGCATATTGAACTTGTCCTTTGTGGCTTTTCTTTTAGCTCCTGTTAAAAAATAAAAGATACATTGTATCTGGGAACAGTATATCTAACGGGAAATGAATCTGATACGCTTTTCAGTATAAAATTGATAAAATCTCGGACTCCCCGAGACTTCCCAAGATTTACGGATTTTGGTAGCGTCTGACTGAAAAACTATCAGAACTGCTCAACAAATAAACCACATAACTCTAATTGTAAATAAATACAAGTTTTATCATTTAGTAGATATATTTTGTCATATAAAATTACCAAAATAAGTTTGATTTATTTGATGTGAAGTGTTTTATAATAGTTTGGGAATTTGAAAATCATCGCGGCAATGGCCGCCATTTTTTTATTACCTGGTTTGCATTCTGCACAATTCTGTGATGAAATGCTTGCGATTTTAACAAATTTGAAGTGACAGAATACAAGTTTGATACACTAGCATCACTATAAAACTAGTTTGAATGACATTTTATTGATAATATCAGAAATAATTAGGATAATAGCGAGTCCGTTTTTAACACATGTCCGTTTCTGTATCGTATCTTTATTATCTATGGCACGACGATAAAATCGACTACAATCAGGTAGTGTCAAGTCCCGTCAATATATATGTTCCTGATTGTATGTACATTGTGTGTATGAAGCAATAAATATAATTTTAAGCAACAGTTTATATTATCTTGCTTGTACTGAAGTCTTACATAGTCTTTGTAATGTTCATTAAGCTGTTAAGGGAAATTTAAATTACTGTTTTGCAAATACATACATACACTGATTTTACTAGAAAAAAAATCTCCATATTCAAATGGTGCTTATATTAGTGTTATTGTAACTTGTTTGTGTGCCTCGGAAACAAGGTATTGAGTCATGCTTATTGCAATAGTTGTTGTTGGTTTAAGTCTGTCAAATTTTTTCATAATGTGTATTTAATGTAGGCAGTTAGTTGTTTTGTTTCAATTGTGTTGAGAAAAATTTAACATTTGTTTGTCAAGGCTTCAAAGTGGACTATATGGCATTGGTTTTCTCAGTTTTGAAAGCTGTACAGTGACCTATAATTTCTTTTATCCAAGTCATTTAAATTCTGGTGGATAGCTGTCTCATACACCTTATCGCTATTTCAGTATTTGGAAATCTGTCCCGCTTGAACTTTTTACGTCAGCATACGTCATACAATAATACACCTTATCGCTATTCCCGCTTGATCCGAGAATCTATCCTGCTTGAACTTTTGACGTCAAACAACAATCACTTTTCCATTGTGGCATCAGATATTTTTAATGATGACGTCAAAATTTTAAGGAAACTTGTGACAGTTGTGTGATGTGCAGTAATGGCGGACAAATAGCGATAAGGACAAGGTGTATTACTTTCAATTGTGGTGTCAAATATTTTCTAATATGACGTCAACATTTTATGGGAACTTTTGTGATGTCCATGGCCAGTAATGGCGGACAAATAGCGATAAGGTGTATTGGCAATCAAACACACAAGCCACATATCCTTATAATTTTTTTATATCAATGAACAAATTCATAATTGGTGTACGTAGATGCTTGAACAGTGGCGGATTTAGGGGCCCCGACCCCCTTATGGAGCTACTTATAAGATAAATGTATAGACTATTTGCAAGTATCACTCCAAACGTTTGCTTGCCTTGGGCAGGGGGCCCCCTTTTTTCAAAACCTTGATCCGCACCTCCAGAAACAGATGTAATTTGGTTCCGATTATGATTGAACACACACGATGAATGCACAAGTTCATCTTAACAGATTAATCATTCTTACCAAGTGAGTATATATCGCGTAACAAACAATTTTCTTGGCTCTCTTTGTTGACATCCTGTCTTCGTTTCGAAATTCAAATTTCAAAATCATTTCCGGTGATAAAACAAAAGTCGATTCCGGAAAAGGTCGGTTTTCCGTAAGACATTTAAACGATACGAAAATTGAACTTAGTACATATACAGTTTTCATTTCTTAATTTCTAAAATATACACGAACGAAATGAATAAACATTAAACAAAAAAGGTGATTGTTTATTAATACATTATTGCTTAATTTAATGTTGACTCTTTTGAATTTTAATATAAGAAGGAATAAAATCTGACTTCAAGGATCTTCAAGATATCAATTAAGGATTTCAACCATAGTATCTTGCTTGTCATGATATTGATGAAATGTAGTACTATATCTTATCCTGAAAAAAGGAGCTAATTCCACAAAACGTTGTGTGTGGGGTTTTGAATAAAGTTTAAATAAAATGTTATTTTTATATCCGTAAAATGTTGAATAAAATATCAGTAAGACTATTAAGTAATGTGTATGTCAGAATATTTTATAGAAAACATTTAGCTGATATTTTTCAGATGTTTTATGTAAAACATTTTAATTTTACGTTATAAAACATTTTATGCAAATAGCAAAACTATATTTTCTGTAAAACATTTTTTTGCAGAATGTTTTTTGGATATTTGGAAAATATTTACTTTAAATGTTGTTAAAATATAAAATACCAATTGAAGAAAATATTATTTTTTTTATATTATAAAATATCTACGGGATATTTTAGAACAATGTTTGAGAACATGAATAAAAGATATTAGCTAATAATATTTTGTTAATGTTGTAAAAACATTTTACTTAAATGTTAGAAATAAAACATTTCAAAAACAATAAAATAAACATTTTTTTTATGTTTAAATGATATCTTATTGAAATATTTTGTGAGAGACGTCCATATGACATTTAAAAAATGTTTTTAAAATGTTGTGTGTTTGCTGGGAACAGTCTTTTAAACAACTTGCTATATTGAAACAGAGTAGCAAACATCCTTAAAACATTTCGCCCGGACGAAAGACGAAGAAATTGATGATGAACGATTGACAATAAATGCAGAAAACACATTTAAAAGCTAACAAGTTGTTATTGTTGGCGTTTGCATTTTTATAATGACCAATGGAAGTAGGTTCTTTATATTGAAGACTTGATAACTTTGATAGGACACTAGTCTAAATGACACATGTTAAGATAGTCGGTAAGATAAATTCGTTACATAGTGTGCTAGTGACCTAATACGGTATATATGGGCTCAGTAAATTCCATATGAGATTCGAGCTTCGCTTCGCTCTCACCCCATATATATCGTATTAGGTCACTATCACACTGTGTAACTAATATTATTATGTCTAATTTGATTTTTTAATTTTGACTGATGCTGTTTATAGTACTATCTTCTTTTATAGCGATTATACTCGCAAACCTGTCACGAGGTTTTTTATTATTATTTTTTTTTATTTCCAAGTCCCAAATTCCGATCGTCTGGAAACGTTAAATTTAGGCAACAAAATGTTTTGACGACATTTTTTTTTACTATGAATGAATATTGCTTTACTTGTGACAACTCTATGATTTTTTACTTTTCAACAGCTAAGCTAATAATTGATCTATCTATCATGCAATTTCTGTCAATAAATTCTTTAAAATACTCTTAATTTCTCTACTAATCAAGAGTCCCAACACTCTTGAGCAAAGTTGACAGTAGTTGGATTTGAATCTTCAATTTATGTCCATTTTGTCGCACAACCCTGCAGTATTCAAGTATTATAGACTATTCGATAACATTTGTTTTGTTGGTTTTAACGATCACGATGAAGGTAGATCAATAAAAGCGCAACGACGCATCAAGTGTATTTTCCTTATCAAGGATGTTCGGTATTCTTGTTTTTGACTTTTTTTCAGATATTCGGAATCCTCTAGTTTTATTCATAGCGCCAATAACAATTTTGCCCGCTAACCCTATTTTTCTTTTCATATTTTGATTACATAGAGTTACAAAAATCCATTTTTGAAAATCTTATAAAATCTTTGTTATTTTTCATAGTTTATGAAAGTAAACAGGTGCCAATGTTATATGTATGAAAAATCTAGAGAGAACCATTTCCCACCAAATTTTCAATTGATTATGATTATGATTTTTGACACGGACCAATCATTTTTTTTCTGCTTTTTGAGTTTCGTTATTTATATACTGTTAATTTATAACAGTCTTTTAAAGCGCTTGTTATTTGAAAAAGAGGAGCAAACATTATGGCAAGCCGTTTTACTATTTATTCGAATTTCAAGATATCTCATATAATATATAAGATATCTCATTTAATATATAAGATATCTTATATAATTTAAGTTTTAAAAGATATCTTATATATTATATGAGATATCTTAAATCCTATATATATATATACTATATAAGATATCTTATATATTATATGAGATATCTCATATAGTTTATAAGATATCTTATATACTTTATAAGATATCTTCTAAAGTTTATAAGATATCTTATAAAGTATACTTTATAAGATATTTTATATAGTTTATAAGATATCTTATATAGTTGATAAGATATCTCATATAGTTTTTAAGATATCTCATATAATTTATGAGATATCTTATAAAGAAAATTATATAAGATACCTTATAAAGTTTATTAGATGTCTTGAAGTTAGATTAATAGCAAAATGTCTTGCCATAGACCTTCCTTTAACTTATATCCTACTTGATACTTTAGCTGCTCTGTCCCATCTGAATTCATATGTATCTTCTCTTGTTATGGTTATTTCGTCTGTTTTTGTTACATTCTGCTCTTCTGAGGTATTATTCACTTGAGTCCAGCTGAACACGGACGTAGGGGTCCTGAGGATATGTGCTTTATCCAAGTCATAATCAATCTGCCGCAGCTTCATCTTAACCCCAGCTGCTGGTTTCTTTAACAGTGATAATGATTGCTCTGAAGGTACATGTAACAATGAAGATGGCGAAAGCACCGAATATAAGTAGGTATTAAGAAATGAGTAATATATCTTTGCAACGAAGTTGTGGAAGGATTTACCAGTAGTATTTAGAATCAGTTTTGTAATTCTGTGTAATCTACCATATTGTTGGCACAATAGAGATTAATAACCACGTAAACCAAGTATTCTCTGTTGTTATATTTAATGTTTAATACAATGGTTTCATATAAAGATAAAAAAAAAAAGAAGTATCGATACGAAATTCGTTCAATTTCACAAGCATTCATCCCGGTTTTTGATGTTTTGTATACTTTTGTTTTTCAGTTTGATTTTCGTTTTTTCTATAATATTGCATATCATCAAACAGTTGTTTTGCTACACAGTTAGCATCGGAAACAGGTTTTTTTAAAGATGGAGAAAAAACATCCTGAAATGTTTATAGTTGTTTATTTGTGACACAAAATACCTTTTTTTTAAATAAATTTTCAGCTCATGGTTTTTGGTGTTTCTCAAAATGTACTTTTCTGTGTAGAGTTACGACTTGGTCTTTCCTGTATTTTTACGGTTGGTCGTTGTGTTGTCTGTAGTATTCGCGTTGATTTTTCTTTAGTTTGAAAAAAATATTTCTGCGTATAAATGATTGTTACTTTTAAGAATTGAATAAGTGAAACTAATCTAATCTGATAATTACCAAAATTATCTGGCTAAATGACGAAATCCTGTCATCCTTAAATCCGCCTACATCATTTGGTTTATCAGTAGCTTCATATCTCCCTTTCAGAAACAGACTTTGATCTCCCCTAAAGTTAGGATGTTGATATCCAACCCACCTAGTGAAACAACCAATTGTTTATAGACAATAATCATTGTATCATGATACATTTCTGTTGTCGGTAAATGCAGGCTACCTCTTCGGTTGCACCAAATTTATTAAGCATTATTTTCCTTTTGAACTTACTGTAACCTTTTTATCAAAATGGTATCATTATTCCTAATTAGTGTTGTTTACCATTACAGAATGCCAATTATATTTTGAAACTGTAAGATGTACATCTTTCCTTACATTTATGTAATTAGGTATTCAATTTCATATACGTACAATTCCCCAAAATTGTATGCATGAAAAAGATAAACAGTAAAAGCCACAATGCGATATAGAGAACAACTTCATCAATGATACGTTTATTCTTAACATTATATCACAAGAGATATCAAGTAATGAATACAGCAAAATTCAAAGTAGAAGTCACAAATATCTTATTGAGCATGTGTCAAATATTTTCATGGGGGCAGTACTAATGGTCAAAGGTAATTACTCATAGTAGAACAGATACTTACGCGCCACTTTTCACCTCAATTGATGATATTTTGTTATCAAATTTGTACCATTTAAGGTTTTCTTCATCATCAGTAAATGTCAGAGACCGCCCGCTAAAATTGTCAGCATAGACTGTACACTCTGGCTCTTCAGTGAAATCCTAAAATAAAGTATCTTCCATCACATATCTTATATGAAGGTCCGTTATTCCCTATTCTGTAAACCCCATCCAAAACTTCTGAGATGACGTAACTATTGTGTCAGGTAATCAAGGTGTTCTACTTCGTCAATGAAAGTCAGAGACCACCCGGAATAAATGTATGTTCACACCCTACACTCAAAGGTTCTTCGGTGAAACCATAAAACAGTAGATCAAATTAGTTATCGTTTGTGATACAACTCTTTTGTCTACTTGTATATTTGTCTGCAACAGTTTAGTTCATGTACGTTTCAGACATTTTGTCTTTATAGTTTATATTACTCTTGCAATGATAAACGTTCTTTTTGTAATTCTAATATCTATTTTTAACTCTAAAAACTGAGACGGGTTCATGCAAACTGTGTTTAAGGAATGCTTGTTGAATATACATATCTTTCTAAAGTAGTTTTCGTACTGAAAACTTGGATTTAGATAAAACAAGATGAATTGTATTATCCTGGTATCTTTTTATTTCTTGTGAAACCTAGCCGTTGTAGCGATCACCTTCTTCATCTTGGTGATCTAAGGGATAAGGCAGGATATGCAGATCCTGCTATAGAACCCACATGTGGCACCCATTATTGTGATCATGGCAAGTACAAATTTGGAGAAATGTCTCTTCGGTGATGTCACTATCGAGGACAACGGATTTGTGGCTACGTCAATTGTAACATATCCCTTGTCATATGAACAGTCTAGCCATGATGACAACTAAATAGAGCAAGGTGACATATAGTTGCTTACATCAACGTCAATTTGTCTCATTGGCAATCATACAACATCTTATTATTATCAGAAGACCGCGCATAATTTGGAAAGAAGAGACCACAAATGATCGTTCTTTCCGAAAGATAGCTAAAGTAGCTGCTATACTGCTGTTAGATGAATACCCCCGTTCGCGAAACGACACTTCAAATAGGTTTCATGAATTTTCATCATCAAATTTTATTGAAATCAACAGTATATATGAGAGGTCAATATATTTTCATATAGTCAGATCATCGGAAGAGAGAACCATGTCAACTACATTAGTTAGTTTATCAGGCATTTAGGCTTTGCTGTTAAACTTTGAATGTTTCAAAATATATATTTATGCAGAAAACAAACTGAGGCTGTAAAATTTTTTGAAAATGTTCAAAAGTCTGCGTTATCTGTTACCCTGTAAAAGCACTCTCTATGTTAAGGGGTCGCGGTGGCCGGATGGTCTAAGTAGTTCAACTACTGTATCACTAGCCTGTCAACACTAAGGTTGTTAGTTCAAATCCCGCATGTGGCAGGTGCGCTAGACTCCAATCTTAATTAACAAGGATTGTCAGTTTTCCTGTCGAAAGTCGATGGTTCTCTCCGTGCACTCTTAACAATAAAAACTGACCGAAATAGCCAATAGTGCTGAGACTGTAAAAATATTCAAAAGTCTGCGTTATCTGTTACCCTGTAAAAGCACTGTCTATGTTAATGTATGAATTAACTCATTGAATTCATCCTTATTATGACATATTCTAGAAAACCATATGTAAACGCCATGTAGGATGCAAAAAGAGGAACATCATATAAAAAGGGGAAGTTTGTTATGGAAAAGTTGAAATTTTCTCTTTTGTCGTATATATTTGTTTCAAATTCGATTGTTTTTTTAAGCAATAACTATATATAGAAATATAAATGACCATAAGTATTATATAACACTTTAGGGAGATAGTGTATTATAGTCTAAAGTTCTAAGTAATCAATCGTAGATATGATAATTGGAAACTTTGTTTGATATTGTTCGAATGATATTATAGAACAATAAGTGTTTGTTGTGTAAAGTACGTAGTATACATACGTAGCCATCTAGCAGTTTTAAAGATGACGCTCGGTCTTGGAAATACTTTGAGAACTTATCGTAAACCTCTCCTTTTTCTATGACAAATATACGTCCTTTGTAGTTCTTAAACTGATACAGTATCCACCTTTAACATTTAAACATAAAACAGACGATAAATCGAAATTGTATACATAAGTGGACTACATGGAGTTTTTTCTATGTATAAAGGCAACAGTAGTATACCGGTGTTCAAAAGTCATAAATCGATTGAGAGAAAACAAATCCGGGTTACAAACCAAAACCGAGGGAAAAACATCAACTATAAGAGGAAAACAAAGGAACAACAGGAACACCGAAGTGCAACAAAAACAAACGCCAACGCACATAGAAACGAACTATTTGATAACAACTGCCATATTCCTGACTTGGTATAGGTCATTTTAAGAAACAATGGTGGGTTGAACCTGGTTTCAGGCATGACAAACCTCCCGTTTTATGACAATGTTAAAAAAATATCGCTAAAACACTTTATTTGTGATCTCTTGGCTACATGAACTAGGGCATATATAAGAATATTTTGTACGCTGGCAAATGTCTGTCACCGTAAATATAGTTCCTTTGAAAAATTAGGTTTTGTTTTCAAGAAATATTTGGTTTATATTTATTGAGTGTTACTATTTATTGTAATGCAATTGACAAATGAAATTTGTATGTGAAAGTTCACTTCAAATATTCTCTGATTGACTTTAATCTTTCTAATAAAATTGGCATCTATACATGCTATATATATGTTAAACTAATACATGATTTGATAGTTAAACATACACTCCTCTTTTGCATTTAACACCCGACGTAATGTCATCGAAGCCAGGGTCAAGCAAATCTGGACATGATTTGTAAATTCGTTGCTTCTTCCTCCAAATTTCTTGTTTTTGTACAGCGTTATCTACAATTAAAACAAAGACAACAATGGAACACTAATTAGGTCCAAACGAAGCAAATAGTTTTACATCGTTTTTCATTGTAAAGTATGTATTTCAAAATGGAAATACGTTTTTCTTCACACCTACATTTTCAGCCGACTATCGTACTGAGTTGTCTAAAAACCCTATACTCCATTACATGTGGAAAAGCTACCTCATTCCTTGTTTTGCATACGACCCCAACTTCCAAATCTTCACAAAAGTATCTCCAATGACGATCAATAAACGACTTGAAAAAATAATTTTGCAAAATCGTAGCATGGACATATGTAAAATCGAAAAAAACCAAATATATATTCCTAAAGAAGCGATGGAGAAAAAGGTATCATCATCACATATAAAACCCAACACGTATCCAGCTAAAGATCTGAACTCTCTAAACTCCACTAATTTGTATATGGAAAAGATTCCCTTTTCCCTGTTTTGCCCTTCAACACTACCCCCCTCCCCCCCCCCCCAAAAAAAAAGAAAAAAAAAAAAAAACACCCCCACACTCTACTCAAAAGTTATTCCACCACCAATATTTCACCCATATCCGCGACAGTTACGTCAGTTTGCGATACGCTAAAATGAATTCCTCTCATGTTTGAAAAAAAAAAACGTGAAATGTTTTGTTTTTAAATGAAAATTTTGTCAATGGTATATAATTGGGCTATTTCGTGGAGGTAAAAGAAAATATGCAACACTAATAAAACACGCATCTATGTAGAAAATGTATTTTCAACAGTGTGTTAATGTAAACGTTTATTTATTCAGAGTGAACAATTTCTTGTGCAAGAAATTTCTTAGTGTACATCTTCATCACTAGTGTTTCCTTTTTAGGAAAATTTGTCATTGAAGATTTTACACTACTGAATTATCTCCATAAGGACAAAGTTCATTGCCAGAAATACAAGAATATTAAATTTTACTCGGACAAACTATGCAAAGGGAATACTACTTTTATTGATTTTAACAAGATATTATAGTTAAACAAAATAAATGGATAAGTGAACTAGTGCTAAGTCAGCCTGTTGTTCAGTGGTTGTCGTTTGTTGTTGTGGTTCTTACGTGTTTCTCGTTTCTCGTTTTTTATATAGATTAGACCGTTGGTTTTCTTGTTTGAATTGTTTTACACTAGTCTTTTTGGGGCCCTTTATAGCTTGCTGTTCGGTGTGAGCCAAGGCTCCGTGTTGAAGGCCGTACTTTGACCTATAATTGTTTACCTATTTATTACACATTGTGACTTGGATGGATAGTTGTCTCATTGGCACATCTTCTTATTTATAGTAAACCTACATATATCAAATATAAAATGTGCGTGTATTTAAGTCTTTCCACTTTTCTGTGGAAAGACCTATTGAATTTGTTCTGATTATTAGGTCCTTCCACTTAACCAAATACTTTTCTTTGTAGGAGTTATCTCACTGAACACTGTTTTCCTTGTGACTGCATCTCTTCCGTAACCTTAAAAGAACGACAAATTTATTTTATAAGATTGCTCGTTATATCCTTCGCATGATTTGTACTATTTTGACCGAAGCGATATGAACACTCCATATGACAGTTATTTCCCCTTATGCATTTGATATAAGTGATATGCATTTATCTTGTAAACCATAAGTGATAGAGACCTAGGATCTTTTGATTTGAGGTCTTTGATCCAAAAATAAGAAAATTAGGTCAAGGTCAGAGGTCAAGGTCATATTTTAACTTTTGATTTTGGCTTATTTTCAATTCTTTTCAAAAACCGTATAAGATATCGACAACATATTTTTACTAAATTGTAAGTTGCGACATGTCGAACACATACATTTTGGTTGAAAGGGTACGCTAACATTAAATTGGAGTTTTCCCCCCTCTTATATTAAAAATTAGGCATATAGTGATATAACTCATTAACCATATATAATAAAGACCTATGGTCTTTTGATTAGAAGCCCTGGGTTTATGACCTTGAAATTGAACTCAAGGTCATAGGTAAAATTGACGTTCTAGATTTTGACCTTTGCTTTTAGTTTATATGTATACATAATAAAGCCATGGGACTTTTTGCATTACGTTGCAAGCCACCTGACCATGGAAAAGCCAACCGGAAGTGACCTGGTGTAAACCGGAAGTAGCTATTTTTTGTAATTATTTAATGTAAAAGTATATTGAACAATATATTTTTGGAATTAGTATCAAGT